CACCTCCCCCACCCCCCACCCCCCGCCCCTGGGCTGGCTGGGCCCCCTGCCCCTGCCCCTGCCCCTGCCCCTGCAGGCCCAGGCCGCTTCGCACCGGGCCTGCTGTGCTTGGCACCGCCCCCGGGGGTCTGCGGCAAGGAGCGCGCACTCAGTTCGCCCGAAACGCAAGCGCACCGTGGCCAGGGCTGCGTGCGAGCGCAAAGGTGATGACAGGATGCTGGCAGGCCGGCCCAGGCGCGAGCGGGGCTGGGCGAGGGGAAGCCGCAGGCGGTGGGGGCGCCGGGGCCCAGCGAGGGGGACAAAACCTCTCCCCCATCCCCCGCCCAGGGCCTGCCAGGCTGCAGGGTGGAGGCAGCGTGGCTTGGGTCGTGCCCTGCGTGGGGTGAGGGGCTCATGCACCCTGCGGTCCCCCGGAGGAGAGGAGACCAGGCCTGAGGGAGGGCGGCCCAGGGGCTTTGCTTGTTCATTCCGGCCCCGCGAACGTCACCGCACCGGAACCCCTGGCCTCTCGGCGAGGAGGCCTCCAGTGCCCGCGGGGTCGGCGGCAGGTACCTGAGCACCCACTGTGTGCGCACTTGGGGAGCGCCTACTGTGTGCCGGGGTCCGTGCTCGGTACGGAGGAAAGAAAACAGAAGCGCAGAGGCAGAGCCAGGGCGGGTCCCCCGCGTCGCTGGCGGGGGCGTCCGCGGAGCCGCAGTGTCCCCGGGGCCCCGCCGTCCCGCTCCTGGGCGCGTGAGCTGTTCGTGCGTGCCCGAACGCGTGCGACATCGCCCGGGAGAGGACCCGGCGGCGGCGGCGGCAGCTGAGCCCCCACGCGCGGGGCCAAGCGGATGGAGCCGCCCGGGAAGGCTCGGTTCCTTCCAGGGCGGGTGGACCTAGGGGTGCGCGGGCATTGCGGGGCTCAGCCGCGGGTGGGAGGAGCCTCTGCCGCCGCTGCGGGAGTCAGAGAGGTCCTGAAGCCCGAGGCGGGGACCCCAGGACGTCCCGGGACGTGCGGTTAAAGGGGGAGCGTATTTTGGTGCGTTCTTCTGAGACCAGCGTGGGTGGGACGGGAGGCGGCAGAGGGGGCCCCTGGAAGGGTGGCCCTGACACCCCGCAGCTCGGGGAGGCCGATGGGGAGCCGCTCGTGGAGAACGTGGCTCTTCCATCCCCCCGGCTCCCGCGAGGAAGCTGAGGTCTCACGGTACCGGGGACCCACGCACGCACGTGTCCTTGGTGGGGCGGAGCTGAGGTCGGGCCCCCGGCCCTTGCGCGGGTGCCTGTTCTAGGCCAAGTCCAAGGACGCTCAGAAGGGAGCCCCTGAGCTTGCCGTGGGCTCTTCCTCGTGGCCCACGGTGTTCTCGCGGCCTTGCGCCAGGGATGGGCTTTAGAGGAGCTGCCGTGGTGGGTTAGGTCGCCGCTGTGATGCCCGCGCCTCCTATCAGAGCGCTGGGTCCAGTCCCAGCTGCCCCGCTCTGACCCAGCTCCCTGCTAACGCACCTGGGAAAGCAGTAGAAGATGGCCCAGGTGCTTAGGCCCCTGCACCCACGTGGGAGACCCAGAAGAAGCTCCTGGCTCCTGGCTTTGGTCTGGCCATTTCAGCCATTTGGAGAGTAAACCAGCAGATGGAAGATCTCTCTCTCTCTCTCATTTTGACTGCAGTAGCATATCATCTGATAGGGCCTTACGTTTTCTAGAAAGTGTATGACAAGTCCTGCATGAGGTGACTCCAGATCTCGCCCATCTGGGAGCCCCATCATGCCAGACAGGAGGGTGGGGGAGGAGCCATGCAATGCCCTTGGTCTTTTCTTTGTGGTATAATATGACTGCTGCAGCTCCAGACATTGTCACAACAGCCACAGATAGGACAGAAGAGCAGTTATCCCACAGGAAGATCTCCCAGAGGGTCCCGGGAGACATCTGCTTATGCCTCCCCTGCCAGGGTCAGGATCTAGAAACCAGGATCAGAGCCATCCCAGTCCACCTCGGGGGCTGGAGTCTCTCCGATGGGTGCTCCACCCTGAGCTGCACCGAGGAGCTAAGGCAGAGTGCTCTCGGCCACCAGGAGACGCTCGGTGGCTTTCTGGGAGATGAGCTGGGCCCCTCCGCTCACACGGGGCTCACGTCGCCACGAGGCACTGCCAGCACTGATGGCAGAGGGGCCAGGAGAAAAAGCCTCCAAATCAGGGTGCTGCCATCACCCGCGCGGACTCCAGACTGCTGTGTGCTGGGTGTGTGTGCAAGGGGTCACTACAGGGACTCCCCTCTCGGTGGTGCTGTGTGTGGGGTGTGTCTGCAAAGGGTCACTACAGGGACTCCCCTCTTGGTGGCGCTGTGTGCAGGATGTGTGTGCAAGGGGTCGTGACAGGGACTCCCCTCTTGATGGCGCTGTGTGTGAGGTGTGCACAAAGGGTCACGACAGGGACTCCCCTCTTGGTGGCGCTGTGTGCAGGGTGTGTGCGCAAAGGGTCACTACAGGGACTCCCCTCTTGGTGGCGCTGTGTGTGGGGTGTGTGCAAAGGGTCACTACAGGGACTCCCCTCTTGGTGGTGCTGTGTGTGGGGTGTGTGTGCAAGGGGTTGCTACGGGGACTCCCCTATTGGTGGCGCTGTGTGCAGAGTGTGTGTGCAAGGGGTTACTACAGGGACTCCCCTCTTGGTGGTGCTGTGTGTGGGGTGTGTGCAAGGGGTCACTACAGGGACTCCCCTCTTGGTGGTGCTGTGTGCAGGGTGTGTGTGTGCAAGGGGTCGCTACAGGGACTCCTCTCTTGGTGGTGCTGGGTGCAGGGTGTGTGTGCAAGGGGTCGCTACAGGGACTCCTCTCTTGGTGGTGCTGTGTGTGGGGTGTGTGCAAGGGGTTGCTACAGGGACTCCCCTCTTGGTGGCGCTGTGGGGTTTCTCTGGGGAAGGACAAAGGTCAGGCTTCTTTGACCTCTGAGAGACCCTGTGTGACCTCACGATGGTCAAGCACGGTGGGTGTGCACGGTGGGTGTGCATGTCCCTGGCCCCCGGCAGGGGAGCAGGAGACACTAAGGCTATGTAAGGGGGGAGCCCCTGGGCCACCCCCATCCCAGGAAATGAATCTTGGCATCTCTGTGGCGAAGCTGGTAGACGAAGCCAAAACTCACCCTTGTAACTCACAGGAGCCCCCAGGATTCCCCCATTCTCCCCACAGACAGAATTACTATGGGGTGGGGGCAGCTCTGAAATTCTCCTGTAACAGAGCGCGTGCGCCCTCGTGTGTCTCCACGGTGTAACAACATGGCAGCTGTGTCTAAGCCGCTGTAACAATGACTACAGCTGACACAGGACTCCCGGAGCAAGGCTGCGCCGAGCAATGCATAGATTTAAATGCACCCTGTCAGCTTTGATTTGCTTTTTTCCCTTTGGGAAAAGTTACGTAAGACAACGGTAAAAACAAATCCCAGCATACAAAGGCAGAGTTGTCTCCACTCCATTCCATCCCCCAGCAGGTGAAAGGTGACACCCAGTGTTGAGCAGTGCACAACCTGCCCAACCACACCTAAGAGATGAATTCTGAGTACTAACATATATATATATTATAAAAGCCTCTTTGTTTTAACAGAGGATCAGATTTTAATTAATAGCTTTTGTATCCAGAACATTTTTCATTACATTTTGGGACTTTCTCACATCTTTTACTACTTAAACTTGTTTTTAAAACCTCTTTTTACAATTTAAACCTATTTTTAAACCTCTTTCTTTTTTAACCTTTCTTACCAAGCACAGCTTTATACTTGTGACTCCTTTTTATCTGCTGATTTCTTTATTTATACTGAAATAAACCTTTAAAAGTCTGTGAATTAAGACAACATTTTTAAAATAAGACATCGTATCAGATTTTAACCTGGGGCCAGTGCTGTGGCACAGTGGGTTAATGCCCTGGCCTGAAGTGCCGGCATCCCATATGGGCGCCGGTTCGAGACCCGGCTGTTCCTCTTCCAATCCAGCTCTCTGCTGTGGCCTGGGAAATCTGTGGAGGATGGCCCAAGTCCTTGGACCCTGCACCCGCATGGGAGATCCAGGGGAAGCTCCTGGTTCCTGGCTTCAGATCAGCGCAGCTCTGGCCGTTGCGGGCATCTGGGGAGTGAACCAGTGGATGGAAGACTTCTCTCTCTGTCTCTATCTCTCTCTGTAACTCTTTCAAATAAATAAAATAAATCTTAAAAAAATTTAAGCTTAATTTTTTTTGACAGGCAAAGTTAGGCAGTGAGAGAGAGAGAGAGACAGAGAGAAAGGTCTTCCTTCTGTTGGTTCACTCCCCAAATGGTGAAGACTTTCAGAGGGCGGCTCTGTGAAAATCCTGTGTCTCACCGAAACTCCGTCCTCCCCCACGCCACAGATGAACGCTTATTTGAGCTGACGGTGGAATAAACAAATACGGAAGCTGAGTCTGGCCCTGGGACACAGCGGGGGCTGGGGACGGCCCTCTGGCGAGGTGCGTGGGCGCACGGCCAATCCCAGCCTTCCAGAACCTCAGCCAATCCTCCCCGCAGCCCGCTGAGGTGGGGCTCCCTCTGCTCTCCTGCTCATAGAAGGAGACTGGCTCAGTGGGCTGAAGCCCCCGGTTCAGTGACAAACCTGAATGCAGAGTGGAACTTAGCCCCGGGTCTCCGGGCTGCAGGTGCTGTGCTCTGTCTTCTTCCTGTCGTCCGGGGGCCTCCACTCCCTATGCCCCCATCTGCAACCCACCGGCTTCCCGCTTCCCTTTGCAGCTCCTGGCAGCTCAGCCTTGTGCAGGGGAACTCCCAATCCGCCACCAAATCATGGCCGAGACAGCAAATAAGCCCCATGGCGGACCTGAGGGCAGGGCGCCCCCTGGGGGAGCCCCAGCAGAGCTGCAGGCTGCCTGGTGCAGCAGTGAGCCCCGCCCCGGACGCCGATGCAAGGCCAGAGGATGCCTGTAGCTGGGAGGATGTGGCAGGAACCAGTCCTGCTTCCCCCGCTGGGGTCCTGTCCTGGTCCGTTTTCTCTCGCTGGAACGAAACGCCACAGCCTGGGTGACTTTTAAAGGAAAGACATTTATTTGGCTTACAGTCCTGAGGACCAAAGGTCCAAGGTGGGGGCCCGCATCTGGCAGAGGCCTCACGCTGCCTCATCGTGGCTCCTGGGGGAGCCGTGTAGGGCAAGCGAGTGAGGGCGGAAGACACAAGGGCCGGGCCGGCTCTGCAGCAGTCCACTCTCGCAGGGACTGATTGCTGCGCCAAGAGTGAACCCGGGCTCCAGGGAGCAGCCTGAATTCCTCTTATAACTTAGTCTCCTCCTGAGGCCCTGGGCCCCACGCAGCGGCAGCCCATGGTCCCCAGGACAGGACCGCACGATGGCGGGTGGACAGGGCTAGGGAGAGACAGTGGACGTCCCAAAGGTGGGGTGCTGGGAACAGGGGTGAACAGAAATCCCAGAGGCCCTGGCCAGCTGAGTTTAACAGCCGACCCTCCTCCTGGAGGGAGACAGGGGTTAGGTAGCCCCTCAGGGGCATAACTATCCCATTCGGAACTGGACTGAAGCCCGGGGAGGGAGCGGCAATACTGACATCCAGGTGTGCCTGCACCGTCCTGGAAACAGCTCCGGGTGCTTGTCTGTGCACTGGGACAGCTCGCGGGGCTCTGTGTGCACAACAATAGGATCCTGCTTTCCTTTCCTATGAACTAAGACCCCCAGGAGGGGACCCCCGAGGGCAGGGCCCTTGAGAGCTCGTGTTGGGTTCCTAGCATTTGTAATTCTAGCTCACTGGAGTCAGCAGATGTCCTAATAAAAACCTGGTCCCATCCTCCCATTATACGGATGGGGAAACTGAGGCCCCTGGCCACACAGCAGCGACAGCCTTGGAATCGGGACCAACACTTGGGTCTCCTGTCGGCTGACTGATAAACGTTCCCGGGAAGAGAATGTGAGGCATGGAACAAACGGAGACCTAGGATGCGAAATGCAGGCTGCCCTGGGCCAAAGTGTCCCAGCCAGGCTGCAGCGGACACCCTGGGCCAAAGTGTCCCAGCCAGGCCGCAGCAGACGCCCTGGGCCAAAGTGTCCCAGCCAGGCCGCAGCGGACGTGTTGTCGGGGTGATGCCAGGAGAGGGCTCCTGCCAGGGTCTTCGTGGAACCAATGGCTCCCTGGGATGTTCCCATTCCAAACACTGCAGTGCTGTGCAAAGAGCACCGGGAAACTGAGGCAGGAAGCTAGGTCCTCAGGAACCCTCAGAGCCTGAGACCAAAGGGAAGAGTCTGGGGTTCTCAGACTTTCTTCCCGTCACCCCAGCCGAAGTAGCTCCAGTGGGGCAGGGGCGACTCTCTGGGGACCCCGTGGATCTCGTGCTCCGGGTCGCAGCAGGTGGCAGGCTAGGGGTGGGCTCCAGGTCCGGGCAGGTGGGCTCCTCAGGAGGCTGCACAGGCCTTGATGCGGCTGTACTGGACGCCAGCGGGGTTCTGCCTGCGGCCAGAGCTCAGGGAGAAACTGTCAAACACAGAATGAGGGGGTGAGTCGGTGGCAGGCCTGGGGGCCTTCCCTGGGGAGGTGGCAGCAGGCCACCCGCCTGGCCCTCCCCCAGTCCCACCCTCAGTCCCACCCTGACCCTCCCACTTCCTGCTGTCAGATGCACTTGTTCTCTGCGTGGACACTAAGGGCTGGGCCAGGCTCCCCATGTGGCCCTGACACACCCTCGGCTGCAGTCACACCCTGCCTCACCCCGTCTCACCCCTGGGCCGGCTTCCACCTGCCTGTCGGTCCCATTGTCCCAGAGGGTGGGTCTGGGATGTTCTGCCCAGAAGGGCAGCATGGCAGGAATTCTGGACCTGGCCAGGTAACAGAATCCTTGATGTTCAGCTGGGCACGTGGCTGCCCCAGCATGTGGGCGTGGCTAAGTTCTGACCAAAGGGACTCGGTGGCCTCCTCTCCCTCCTGCAGGAACGTGGGGGTGCGTTGTCTTGGGCAATGTTAAGGAGATGGCAGAGCCCATGACAGAGGAGCCTGGGGCCCTGAACCGCCCGGAGCCTGCGACTCCGCCATCCCGACTCTTCCGGCAAGCTGAGCTGGGAGCTGGGAGGGTCTCACAGGGGCATCAGGCTGGCAGGGGGCGCTCTGCAGGGCGGGGCCAGGTTAGAGGCTGTTGGGTGGGCCAGCCCTGCACCGCGTCAGGGGTCACATGGGTGTGCGGCAGGATGCTGGAGCAAGGGCGGTTGTGCCTCAGAGCCTCCCAGGGAGAGACCAGGCGGCCAGGAGCGGGGCCTGCTCCCTCCCCGGAGACGCAAGAGGGGGCTTTGCCAGGCTTGCTCAGGAAGCAGCAGCGCTTCCAAGTCCCTGCCAGTGCCTCTGTGGCACCCTCCCGCCACGTGGGCAGCCTGAGGCCCCACGGTGCTGAACTACCTGACTCTGATCAACCCAGGCTCCTCCCCCAGCCACACTGGGTCGCTTGCTGGTCCTAGTTACTGTTAGAACATCGCGCTTCTCCAAGGTTCCATGGCTCTCAGATTCTGTGGTTTAAGAATCTCTCATTCTTGGGCCCACATAGGAGACCCTGGTGGAGCTCCAGGCTCCTGGCTTTGGTCTTGCCCAGCCCTGGCCATTGCAGCCATTTGGGGAGCGAACCAACAGATGGAAGATTCTCTCTCTCTCTCTCTCTCTCTGTAACTCTGAATCAATAAATAAATACATCTTAAAAAAAAAAAAAAAAAAGAATCGGGGGCCGGCGCTGTGGCACAGTAGGTTAATCCTCCTCCTGCAGTGCCGGCATCCCATATGGGGACTAGTTCGAGACCCGGCTGCTCCACTTCTGATCCAGCTCTCTGCTATGCCCTGGGAAAGCAGTAGAAGATGGCCCAAGGCTTTGGGTCCCTGCACCCACACGGGAGACCTGGAAGAAGCTCCTGGCTCCTGGCTTCGGATAGGCGCAGCTCCAGCCGTTGTGGCCAATTGGAGAATGAACCATCGGATGGAAGACCTCTCTCTCTCTCTGTGCCTCTCCTCTCTCTGTATAACTCTGATTTTCAAACAAATAAATTGATTTTTTTAAAAAGCATTTACCATCTAGCCTCCCATAATTCCATACTCAAGGGATTCTAGAATATTCCTGTGAGCTGAATCTTTTAGTCCGATGCGAAGCTGCTATAGGAAGATGGGAAACAACTCGAGGGGAGCAGCTTGTGTGCGAAGCCAGCACGGAGCTCAGCGGGCCCGGGCAGTAAAGGGCCAGGAAGGGAGGGAAGGGAAGACCTGAGCCGCTACAGCCACGTGTGCGGTTCCATGTGACTTCCCCCGGGCCTGGGCCCACCCCGTACCGCCTCTTCTGGAACTGCTGATCTATCTCCGCCAACGTCTGGCCTTTGGTCTCCGGCACAAACGCGTAGATGAAGCCCAGGCCGAGGGCAGCCGTCAGTCCATAGAGCAGGAAGGTCCAGGACAGGCCGATGGCACCTGGCGGGAGGGGGGCGGGTGTGGGTCGGGGCGTGGACGGTAGCCCCGGCGGTGTCGGGGACACCGTCCCAGGGTCTGGAACGAAGCGGCCTGGGGCTCGAGGCGCGAGGACTCACCGATGAGGTGGAGGAAGGAGAGGCTGGTGAGGAGGTTGGAGCCCCAGTTGAAGCTGTTGCAGAAGGCGAAGGCTCTCCCTCGGATCTGCACAGGGTAGATCTCGCTGAGCACCAGCCAGGTCACTAGGACGGAAGGGCGGGGGGCTCCTGGCACCGGGGAGCAAGCACGCGGCCTCTCCGTGCCCCCGATGTGAGTCCCGCGGAGTGTCGGGCCCCTGGCCCCCGCGTGCCACAGCTGCTTCCCCACACCCCAGACAAGCCTCTTAGGGGCCCCCCCAGGCTCGCTGTGCCCCACGACGGAGGGGCTTCCTCAGACACAAGGCTGGGCAGCTGGTCTTGCCCTACTCCTTCCTCTCGAGTGGACCCTTTGGACTGAGCTGTCCAGGGACAGATCCAGGCTTTGTGGAGCCTGGAACAAGGGATTTGGGGCACGGAGTTGGGCCCTACCTGGAGAAGTACAGGCAAGCGTGCGAGGATCATGGGAACGTCATGGCCCACCCACCCTGCTGCCTCTGTGACCCTGGCTGACCCTGCCCCCAAGCACCCCACTGAGGGAAGTGGGGGCTCCAGGGTCACCCGCAAGGAGCCCCACTTAGGGGCAGGTGCAGCGCGGCGGACGGTTAAACTGTTTCTTAAGACAGCTGCATCCCCCTGGCTGCTCTGCTTCAGATCCATCTTCCTGCTAACGTGCCCAGGAGCAGCAGGTGACGGCCCAAGCACTTGGGTCCCTGCCACCCACGTGGGAAACCCAGATGCAGTTTCTGGCTCCTGGATTTGGCCTGACCCAGCTCTGGCTGCTGTGGGCATTTTGGGGAGTGAACCAGTAGATGGAAGATTCTCTCTCTCTCTCTCTCTCTCAATCTCTCTCTCGTTCCCTCTGTAACCCTTTCACATAAATAAACAAATCTTCCAAATAAATAAATGACAAAGGGGAAAAGAGCAAACCTCACTTACCAGGTCCAAACCCAAAGGAGAAGGCACCCACGAAGGCCATCAGGCAGAGCAGTGTGGCCCAGCGCAGCAGGGCACTCCCGGGGACAGGGGTGGGGGGCCCTGGGGAGGTGGAGCCCAGAGCTGGCGGGGGCGGGAACGTGGAATCTTCGGCGCTGGGCCGGAGCTTGATTTTCTTAGTGGCTAACAGCACGGCCTCCTTTTCTTTTTCCTTGGTTCCTGGTATTGGAGGTGGAACTGAACCCCGTAGTAGGCCAGGGTCTCCAGGGAGGCCGGTGTGCCTGGTGGCATTGGGTGTGGCCAGGCAGCTCGGGCCCGAGGCCATGGGCACGGCAAAGCTGACGAAGCCTATGCCGCTGACCGACAGGGCCATGAGGGCACAGCCGGCGAGCAGCAGGGTCCTGCGGCCCACACGGTCCACCAGCGCCATGGCGGCCAGGGTGGCTGCCACTTTCACCACGCCCAGCCCCATGGAGGCCAGCATAGCTGAGGACCCCGCGCGGAAGCCGACCGAGTGGAAGATGGTGGAGGCATAGTACAGCACGTTGGGCTGGCCCGTCAGCTGCTGGAGGAGCACCAGCCCCAGCCCCACGGTGGTCCGGCCCCGCATGTTATCCCGGGCCCTGAAGAGGTCCAGAAAGGAGTAGCGAGGCGCCCCCAGACTCGGCTTGGCGGCCTCGCTGCCCTGGAGTGGGATGAGGGCTCTGTGAGCTGTGGTCTCGTCGGCAGCAGCAGCAGGGAGGAAGAGGAGGCTGCAGCACTGCAGGACAGCAGGTGCCACGGCCCAGCCGAACATGTGTCTCCACCCCCGGGGGGCCCCGGCCAGCGCGTAGCTGAGGGCGTAGGAGAGCAGGATGCCCGTGGTAATGCCGGCCTCGTAAAGGGACACCAGCACTCCCCGCTGCCGTGGCCCCACCAGCTCGGACACGTATATACAGCAGGCCATGGAGGACAAGGAGATGGCGAAGCCAACCGCCGAGCGGCCCAGGACCAGGCAGGCCAGGGAGCTCGCCAGGCCTAGGCTCAGGCTGCCCGCCAACAGCACCAGGTTGGCCCCCAGGATGGCTTGTTTCCTGCCATGGCGGTCGATGAGGAAGCCCCCGACCAGGGAGGCGAGGAGAGCGCCGAGCAGCAGGCTGCCCACCAGGAGCTCCTGCTCTGAGCAGTTCAGCCCGAAGTCACGGCGCAGGGGCAGCAGGGCACCCGATATGACCGCCAGTTCATAGCCGAAGAGCAGGCCGCCCAGCACAGACACACAGGCACACAGGGGCAAGACGGATGGCAGACAGCCTGGAAGACAAGTGACGCAGACAGAATTCAGAGTGGGGCCTCGTCAGGGCTTCTGTCTACCCCACCTCCCCTGCATCTGCCAAACCCTCCCCCCTCCACTCAACTGTTCAACCATCTATCCATTCACCCACCCATCCATGAATCCTCTTATCCACCCATCCACCTATCCATCCACCCACCCATCCACCCATCCACCCACCCACCCACTCATCCATCCACCCATCTACCCACCCACCCATCCACCCACCCATCCATCCACCCATCCACCCATCCACCCACCCATCCATCCACCCATCCAACCATCCACCCACCCATCCACCCATCCACCCATCCACCCACCCATCCACCCATCCACCCATCCACCCACCCATCCATCCACCCATCCATCCACCCATCCACCCATCCACCCACCCATCCACCCATCCACCCATCCACCCACCCATCCATCCACCCTTCTATCCACCCATCCATCCATCCACCCATCCACCCATCCACCCACCCATCCACCCATCCACCCACCCATCCATCCACCCATCCACCCACCCATCCATCCACCCATCTGTCATCCATGCATCCATCCTTTGTCCTTCTTCCATTCCACCAGTTGACTGGCCCATCTGTCCACAAACCTACCCATTAACCCACCCATCCTGGCATCCCATCCCTTTATGTATCCACATGCCCACTCACCCACCATCCATCCATCATGCATCCATGCATCTGTCCATTCAGATTGATCTATCTGACGTCACAACAGGCCAGGCCGTGTTCTTGGGGCTGGCAAGTCAATGGTGTTGTTAAGCACTTGACATTCCAGTAGGAACAGGTGGATGATAAGTAAGTGTATGATAACTTCAGGTGGTGACAAGTGTCATAAAATGGCAAAGCCAGGAAACGGGTTTAAAGGTGGAAAGGGGGCATTATTTCAAGTGGAGTAGTCAGCTGAGGCCTTGCCGGAGAGTGGGCATCGGAGTAGAGAGCTGAATGAAGAGTCAAAGCCATTGGAAAATCTGGAGAACATTCTAGAAAGAGGGAACAGCACGTATAAAGTCCCTGAGGTAGGACAGCTCTCAGTGTGTTTGAATAACTATGAGTAGCAAGGGCTGGTACCTACGTGGCACTTACTAAATGCCAGATGTGGTCACACTTCTCATGGTCACATAGCAAGTGGCAGAGCTGACATGGCTGGAGAGTGAGGCTTTTTTTAAAAAAAGATTTATTTTACTTACTTTGAAAGGCAGAGTTACAGAGAAGAGGAGAGGAAGACAGGGAGAGAGAGAGAGACAGAGACAGAGACAGAGAGAGACAGAGAGATCTTCCGTCCACTGATTCACTCCCCAAACAGCTGCAAAGGCCAGGCTGAAGCCAGGAGCTTCTCCCAGGCTTTCCACGTGGGTACAGGGCCCTAGTATGGACCATCCTCTGCTGCCTTCCCAGGCACATTAGCAGAGAGCTGGATCGGAAGTGGAGCAGCCGGGACTCGAACCAGGGCGCATATGGGATGCCGGCACTGCAGGCAGTGGCTTAACCTGCTGCACCACAGCGCCGGGGACACTTGAGATGCGTGGTTCCCCGTCATCTCACAGCAACCCAGGCAGGAAGATCACTATCTCTGCTTTACGGACAAGGAAACTGGAACCCAGAAGGGCCAGTCGCCAGCTCTGATTGAAGACGAGAAGCCAGAAAGATTATTAAATATAAATATAAATACTATAAATATTAAATACTTTTTGGATCAAATAAAACACATCTCAGAATCCAGCCCATAGGCACCAGCTTTCATTTAAACTTTTTAACATTTACTTATTTTATTTATTTGAAAGGCAGAGAGACAGAGAAGTCTCCATCCCCTGGTCCGATCCCCAAAAGCGAGTGTGATGCTGTTGTCAAGGTTGTTTTTGCCGCTGGTTTTATTTCCACCCCTGAGTGAGAAATGTAGTTAGGACAAAGCGTGTTGACAATCCATGGCTGAGCCACTCCCTTCACCCCATCTGTGGGAAAGAGAGGAGTGAAGTTGCCACCTCACCCCGCGTCCCCCGCGCACCTGCTCCTGCTTGGATTTCTGGGGAAGCCGGGGATGATGCCAAGCTTTTGTTTTCTTAACCAAGCTGGAAACAGGCGGGTGGGAGTCCCCCTGCAGCCCTTACCGACTGACCTCTTCCAAGAGCCACGGGAAGGGACGTAGTCACATACACTCCATGCTTCGTGCTGCTCGGCTCGTGCACCCACACCTGCTGGCCCTCCTGCTGGCCCTGCCCTGTCTCCCTGGGTGCTGCTGTCCCTCCTTGGTCCCAGCACACCTGTCACCTCCCCCAGGAGCCTCCAGTTACGCACACCTGCTATTAAACATCCACGCCCTGCCCTTCTCCATGGCCCCGAGGTCTCCTGGCTTGGGTGGAGGAGGCCATCGCATCTCCACCCCAAGGGTTGTGTCCATGGCCCAGATCTGGCCAATCTGTAGACTCCTTGACTCCAGAAGAGGTGAGTGCCACTGGTTGACCCTGAGCCAGTGAGAATCAGCCTGGGGGTGACCGCTCAGCAGAGGGGCTGCCCTGGTAGTTGACCTGCCTGGAGCAGCTGGGGGCATCTTTCCTGGGAGGATCCCTGAGTGAACCTGAGCTTGCTCTCTCTCCCCCACCCCTCAAATGAATGAATAAATAACAGCTTAAAAATACCTATTGATGGGGCTGGCACTGTGGTGCAGCAGGTTAACACCCTGGCCTGAAGCGCTGGCATCCCATATGGGCACCTGTTCTGGTCCCAGCTGCCCCTCTTCCGATCCAGCTCTCTGCTGTGGCCTGGGAAAGCAGTAGAGGATGGCCCAAGTCCTTGAGCCCCTGCACCCACATGGGAGACCTGGAGGAAGCTTCTGGGTCCTGACTTCAGATCGGCTCAGCTCCGGCCATTACAGCCATTTGGGGAATGAACCAGCAGAAGGAAGACCTCTCTCTCTGTCTCTCTCTCTGTCTCTACTTCTCTCTGTAACTCTGTCTTTCAAATAAACAAAAATAAATCTTTAAAAAATACATATTGCACAAATGAACGAATGAATCAGCTAAGGACAAACTCTGCAGATGTAGGAATGCAGAGAGAAAGGGTCTTGGCTTTGGAGCATCTGGGGTGGTCCAGGTTGGCCATGGACAGGAAGTAAATCCTGGTGCCCACATTAGCATGGCCAGCCTGGGTTTAGTCACTGTCCCCTTCCGGTGACTTGCCCATCTGATATAGGCAGTGCATGGAGATGTCTCCTGCTGGGAGAGATCCCTTAATCCTCCACACCTCTCCCCATGGAGGCAGAGCTGCCCAGGGAGAGTCGGGGGCAGAGGCAGCCGAGAGAAGCCAGGGTCAGGATGCACACACCACCAGCTGCAAGTCCCAGGGTGCCTTCTGTCGCTGACATCAGAGCAGTGTCTCATCCAGAGGTCACAGGGCATCGGGTCCCTCCCTTGCCAAAGACCAGTCATGGCCTCCTCCGGGGCTCCAGGGAGTGGCTGGGAGGCAAACCAAGCTGGACAAACTTCCTCCCAGGCAGGCCGACTTCTCCCGCCTCCACACCCGTGACCGCCAGCCACTCCTCTGGGGCCACACCTGTGTCAGCAGGTGCAAGGGTTTCATTGTGCCCCCAAAGTTCCAGGATTGGAAACTGGCATGTAGAACCCCAAAAGGTGAGCAGGTGGTGAGGGCTCCGCCCCCAGGAATGCATTAAGGCCGTTATCGTGGGAGCAGCTTCAGTACTGCGAGAGTGCGTTTGTTATAAAGCGAGCCTGCCCCTCAGGCTCTTTCGCCCACGCAGTGCCTCTCACCGAGTGGAGAGGATGCAGCAAGAAGGGCCTTGCCAGATGCCAGCACCACGCCTTCACTTAACCGGCTCCAGAACAGTGAACCAAACAAACCTACCCACAGGCTGGTGCTGTGCCACAGCGGGTTAAGCCACCGCCTGTGATGCCGGCTTCCCATGTGAACACCAGTTAGAGTCCCGGCTGCTCCACTTCCCATCCAGCTCCCTGCTAATGCTCCTGGGCTAGCAGTGGAAGACGGCTCAAGTGCTTGGGCCCCTGTCACCCACAAGGGAGACCTAGAGGGAGTCGCTGGCTCCTGGCTTTGGATTGGGCTAACCCTGACCATTGTGGGCATTTAGGGTATGAACTAGTGAATGGAAGATCTCTCTCTCTCTCTCTCTTTCTCTCCCTCTCTCTCTCTCTTTCTCTGTAGCTCTGCCTTTCAAATAAATAAATCTCGGCCAGCGTCATGGCTCAATAGGCTAATCCTCTGCCTGCAGCACCGGCACACCGGGTTCTAGTCCCGGTCGGGGTGCCAGATTTTGTCCCGGTTGCCCCTCTTCCAGGCCAGCTCTCTGCTGTGGCCCGGGAGTGCAGTGGAGGATGGCCCAAGTGCTTGGGCCCTGCATCCGCATGGGAGACCAGGAGAAGCACCTGGCTCCTGCCTTTGGATTAGTGCGGTGCGCTGGCCGCGGCGGCCATTGGAGGGTGAACCAACGGTAAAGGAAGACCTTTCTCTCTGTCTCTCTCTCTCACTGTCCACTCTGCCTGTAAAAAAAAAAAAAAAAAAAAAACACCTTATCAAATAAATAAATCTCTAAAAAACAAATACTCATTATAAATTAGCTGGTCTGTTACAGCAGCAGAAAATGAATTTAAGATAGCTTGCTTAATCCCTACAACAACCCTGTGTCACAGCTGCATGACCAGTCCCATTTCACAGATTAAACAACTGAGGCACAGAGAAGCGAAAACAGCTGTCCAAGGTGACACAGCGGCATTTAAACATGTGCAGTCGGACTCCAGAATCCCAACATTGAGTGTGATAAGATCTAATGCTAAATGGTCATTTGCCTTGTGCAAATAGTGGGTTCCAACTTCATTTTCTCCCATCATCCTCACGGTGGCGCTGTCATCGTGGGCAGGTGAAGGCCGGAGGCCTTGGCATGAGGTCCCAAGTCACAATGGGGCGGGAACACAGTCCTGATGCCAAAGCCTGTGTGCAGAGCCCAGGCCCTGGCCACGGCCGTGGCCACGCGGGGAGCAGCCTGGGTTGTTCCGTGTCCCCTCATCTGCACCGCCCAGCCCTGGCCCTGCCCATCGCAGACATTCAGCACGTAGCTGTGGCATTAACTCAGGAGGGGCAGGAAGGGCAGGACAAAGGGATCAGGGCCAAGTTGAGGGTCCCTGGGAGGACCTGGTTCCCTGGGCCCCACTTCCTGCAGGCTGCGGGGCAGTGTGCTGTGCAGGTTGAGAGCATGGACCCCGGAGTCCGCGCTGGCGTGGCCCACCAGCTGTGCCATTACTTTGCGCATGCGCGGCGGTGTGGCACAGTGGTTAAGAGAGCAGACTGCAGCCGGACTGCTGGGGTCCCACCCTAGTTTCTCCTCCCCGTGGCTGTGTGATCTTAAGGAACTCGCCTACCCTCTCTGGGCCTCGCCATCCACAAATGGGCCAATCATGCTAGCTCCTACGATTCTCCACAGGACACCCAGAGTGAGTTTCAAACAGACAACTCAGGTCACGCTTCCCACCGGCCCTAGCTTGACAGTTCTGCAGGTTCCTGTGTTACTCGGAACAAGGTGCAGACTCCTTGCCACCCCTGCAAAACCCTGGATGATCGATGATCGGCCCGGGCTCACCTGTCCGACACCCCTTGGCCCTTGCCCGCCCACTCTCCAGCTGCCTTGGTCTGGACCACACCAGCTCCTTCCTGCCGCAGGTGCCTTGCGTTTGCTGTTCCTGTATGCTCTTCCCCCAAATCTTAGCAAAGCCCCA